AATATAATAAAGTAATATTTTATACATCTAATATAAATCTTTTTTTATTTCTTTTTTCTTATCGTAAATCAAAAAGAAATATAAAATAAAAAAAAAAACAAAATTATAAACACAATCATATGGTTCTATGTCTATATATTTTTCATATATAATAATAATAATAAACATATGTATTAAAAAACATTAATATTTTTCAACTTTAATTTTGTTTTCATCAACTTGGAGAAAATGTATTCCAATACGTTTTAATAAACATATTTGATAATCATTTAAATTATTTCTAAATAAAAAAATAAAACCATGCTCTTATTTTATTTTTTCAAAGAAAAAAAAAAATAACTTACGAACAAATAGTCAATACATCGTTATTTTTCGATTTTCTTATACCATATACTGATTCGGATAATACCGAATAAGCCTGTTCTAATTCATTTATCAATTCATTTGATTTGTTTTGTTTTTCATCATCGGATAAATTGTCTATTTCAATATGAATACACATGAACATATCTTTAACCTCCTGGATACCGACAATTCTTACGTTCTTTACCATCTTATAGAAAAATCGAAAAATCACTCTCTCTTACGTTCTATCTTTGTGAATCAGCTGTATACATGTATATATAATCGTATATGAAACGTGGATTGATACAGCCGTATTAATGAACATTTCGTTTCATAGCTGTTTATCGATACGACAGAACGAAAAAAAAACTCTTGCGTTCTGCTTGTCTTCAACCTGAAGACAGCGGTATCCAAGAGGTTAACAATACGACTAATAACAGAATTTGTTTTTGATGAATTAAGACCTATTGCCATCATTTCTTCAAGTAATTTTTTTTTTTAAATTTTAGTACGCTAATTTGATGATTATATCATACCTTGTAAATATCCAATAAATTCTTCCATCATACCACGAGCATGTAATGTTCCCTCATAGAACATTATTTTACGTTTATATTCAACATCTTGTTTATCTTCCATATCACATAATTCTTTAATTGCTTGACAAAGAGCAGATTTTTCACGAATAACATGTTCTCATTCAAATAATAAACTTTCATATCCATCACGAATAATCTTCATTAATTTAAATGATGATGAATTTGATGAACAAAGATCTTTAAGTTTTTCATCAGAAAAAACTTGTGAATGATTATTTATTCGTCGTCGATGTTGTAACATTAATCGATTAGATCTTGTGAAAACATTCTAAATAATAAAATAAATATTTATATAAATATATGAAATAAATAATCTTTATTAAAAATCTTAATCTCAAAATTTGTTTTGAATTAAATAAATCAAAAAGAATAATTTATATCTATTATTATCAAAATGTTCATATCTAAAAATTTGTTTTATTTGATTCTTTTATTAATTTATTTATCAAAATATTCATATTAATTTAATCTTGACTACATTAAATAAACAGAAAAAACAAAAAGAAAGATTTCAAAATAATTTGTTTTTTTCTTTTGAATTAAATAAAAATACAAACTGAGACATATTTATTTTAAGTAATTATATAATCTTATCAAAAACAAATTTAAAAATATATTCTTTATGTTATAATATTTTATTATAAAAGATAATACAATTAACCTCCTGGATACCGATAATTCTTGCGTTCTTAACGAGCTTACAGGAAATCGAAAAATCATTCTCTCTTGCGTTCTATCATCTTGAATGAGCTGTATATATGTATATTTTATCGTATATAAAGTGTTGCTTGGTACAGTCGGATGGATAAACATTTCATTTCGCAGCTGTTTATGAACAGGATAGAACGAAAAAAAATTCTTGCGTTCTGCTTATCTTCAGCCCACCCTTCGTAGTTCCTATATTTCCTATATATAAGAAATAGCTCTGTATCGCTCTATATCTAAAGTGAAAATCTTAATGTTCTATATTTTAGTAATCCGTGCCATGTACGACTAGAATATAGAAAACTACAATCTATATTTCAAGTATAGAACAATATAGAGCTATTTCCTATATATAGGAAATAGGGGAACTACGAAGGGTGCTTCAGCCTGAAGACAGCGGTATCCAAGAGGTTAATTTAAAATTAACTTACTAATATATTTCTCATTGATATCATTTTTCAAGAAAAATAATCTAATCTAAATAAAAATAAAAATAAAAATTTTCTTATAGTGTTTCTTATTAATAATTTTAATTAGAATAAGAGAAATTTATAAAATATTTAATAAGAAAAAACATAGATGTCACTCTCATATTATTAATACATCAATATAACTTAAATAAATTTCTATTTGTTTCATTGTTCACCAAATTCATTCTTTATATAATAAAATCAATAAAACAATTACATAAAAAAAAGATATATCTAAATAATAATTTCATCTATTTTTATTTCACCTAAACATTATTCATGTATACAGAACATTTCATTTAAGTCAATTGAACGTAAATTAAATAGATGAACAAAATATCGATGAGTTATTTATATTATTAAACAAACAAAAACAAAGAAAACAAAGAATATCTCTTTTTATATCTGATTGAATTTTTATCTTTAATACATATATCATTGAAAAATAGTAATTTCATTATTTTCAATAATATTATTATTTGATATTAATGTATCAATAAATAAATCATAAAAAAAGTTTAATATTTTATAATTATATAAATGAAGAATAACAAAAAATCTGTTATTGTTATAATTCAAAATAGTTTTTATGGATCATTAACAAGTATTGATTCACAATAAAATAAAATGTGTCGCAAATTTTTGTGGGTGTGGGTGAGGGTTGAGGGGCATCTGACTTCACATCCACACCCACACCCATACCCCACACCCACACTCACACCCACACCCACACCCACACTCACACATACACCCACACCCACACCCACACATACACCCACACCCACACCCACACCCACACCCACACCCACACTCATACCCACACCCACACCCTACCCACACCCACACCCACACCCACACTCACA